CCGGGAACTCCACTCGCCTATGTAACTGTTTCCATAAGCCAGGCCAAGTCCAGGGCCTTCCTGGAGGAGGATTCTGTGACAGTTGAGGAGTTCTACCTGTGGGAGCGGGGGCGGGGCCAGGCCGGCACAGGGTCAGCCGAGGCCCAGCTCAGAGGCCTCACTAGCAGGACAAGCTGTAGTCCTGGTTCTTGAAGGAGCCAGAGTGGCCCAGAGCGGGGAGGGCAGCAGGGCAGGCGCACAGAGGCCGCCAGGGGTCCCACAGAGGCAGGAGGGCCGGCCCAGGACCACGGGGGGGGGGGTGAGAGTTCCTAACCAGAAGAGCTGGCTCCTTGAAGCTTGCGGAGACCCGTCGTCTGCGTGCAGGGGCTCAGGACAAAATGGCCCCAGGTCCCCCACGCACCAGGCCTGCAGGGCGTGGGGCGTACAGCTTCCTGTGAAGCCCCCCCAGGTTCCTGTTGCCTTTGCTTTGGTCAGTAGACTCCACCCCCCCCCCAATTTAGTCTCCATGAAGCAGCAGCGATGGGAAAGGTGAACAACATTCATTCACGCCAACCTTAGCTCGGTTGTTTAAATAAGAAATTTATTGCAAATATAGAAATTGATTCTCTCCATACAGGGATCTCAAGTTGAGGAAAACAATTCCGTGCCATTCAGTTTAAAACAGGAAGTTGTGGGGAAGGAGAGGCAGATGAGGGAGGAGAAAATAAATGAAGTTACCCTCAGAAAAGAAGAAGAGGAAGGAGGGGTTCAAGCCCCCCCCACCCCCAGAGGGAAGGAAAGGTTCGTACACACAGCCCGTGTTCACAGGTTCAGAGTTCAGGGCCCTGCGCCCAGCCCTGCAGGGCTCAAACCAGGTGCCAGGCCACAGCTCCCAGCTTGGGTGCTGATGGCTCCCGAGGAAGATGAGAAGGGGTGGGGAGGAGGTGGCCGCCACTCCTGAACCCAGAGCCCAGGGCCCAGCCCTGTGCTTGTCCTGGCCACAGAGGGACAGGGAAGGAAGAGGAGGCCCAGTTCCCCCTGCCCACCCTGGCGCCGCTCCCCCATCTCTCCCTACTGCCTGGCAGGGGTGGCTGCCCCGGGGGAGGGGTCGGGGTCGGGGTCAGGACGCTGAGCCTGTCTGAGAGATGGGAAAATGCAGGTCAGGTCAGGGAAGGTGTCAGGTGGGCTGCGGGTGAGGGGCGGGAGAAGGTCCCCCTCTTCCTGGGGCCAAGGAGGCTGGCTGTGGAGCATGGATGTGCCAGAGAGAAATAGTACCGGGTGCGGTGAGACCTCCCCAACCTTTGTACTGGGGTCGGTGGGCAAAGTTTCTCCCCTGTGGGAGCCCCCCCCATCCCTTTGCCCAAATCCTGTGGCATGAGCCACTCTCCCGGCCCACCCCAGGGGTGAGCTTGTCACCTCCCCGCAGGGACAAGCCCTTCCTAACCCACCATCCTGTTTTAATTCTCTCTGCACAGCACCTATGGATGCCAAGTGCTCCACCTGTCTCAGGAGCGGGGCTTGGTCTGATGTCCCCGTCCAGTCTATCCCCGCCCTGGCCTCCGCCTTGTTGTGAGCTGGCTTCTCCACACTGGACTTTCCTTCCCCATCCTGGGTTTTCCCCACACTGCACTGCATTTCCCACAGCGGAGGCCGGAGGGACTTCTATTTGGAAAACGAGGGGCCCTAGGCCAGCCTGCTTCTCAGCTTCACTACCCTGTCCGATCCCTGCTGTCCAGCCTTCGCCTCCCCAGCCCCTCGCTGCTCTAGGGTTCCCTACCTACACAGGCAGCCCCCCCTAGCCCCATCCTCCCTTCCTCCACCCCCCCTGGCCCCACCCAGGGCCCAGGGCCCTTGAGAAGGCATCTACAAAGACTACCTTCCTTCCCACCATACTCCTGCTTTTCCCTTCTGGGAGGCTATTAGCTGTTTCTGGAAGGCTCCAACCAAGAGGTGGCCATGCTTGCCTGTGCCTGCCAGGAGACAGTAGGCCCTGGGTGCCACACTTCGGGAACAGCCTTCCCCAGTGGCTCTCTACCAGGGACCAGCAAGGTGCAGGGGCCAAAACAGGGTGTCTCCCCATTCCCCTCTCCAGCGCACAGCATCCATATTTTTCCAGCTCCCCCTCCCGCCTGACCCTCTCCTGTCCCCATCTGTGCCCCTTTCCTTCCTTTCCTGATGCCCCAAGTCCAGGCCGGCCCAGGCCTCAGTCCTGAACCTGCTGCCATTACAAACACAGGGCTCAACGCCAAGTCAGGTCATCTCAGACCTGCCCCTTCCCCAGGAAGTCTGGCCCTGGCTGTTGGGGTGTGGCCTGGGGCTCCAAGCCCCCTCCTCCTCCGGCAGCTCTTTAATGTGGAGTGCCACTGGTGAGATGGCCTCTCTCTGAAGGTTTTATAGTCACCTTCAACCAGGAATGATGGCAGAATAACGAAGACAGAGCTGATGTGCTGGAAACAGCCCCCCCCCGCAAAGCCAGGCCCCCAGGTACACTGCCTTACTCTCAGGGCTCCCCCCACACGACCCCCAAAACCTCTCCACGAAGCCCCAGGCTCTTGGCCTTCTGTGCTCTCGCACCCCACTGGCCAAGCTGATCACAAGATGCCTCTTTGAGGGACATCAACTTCTTTGCAAAATGGAGAAGCGTACCAACAAGGGGACCCTCGCTGGCCCTGCATCTTGGAGATGGGGTCTCAAGGGGACTTCGCGGGGGCAGCCCTCCCCGGGCTGGAAGGAGAGAGCGAGGAAGGGTGAGATGTGAGGGGAAGGGGGAAGGACATGGGGAGATGGACTGCAGGCCCCAGGGCCAGAGAGAAAGGAAGGAGGCAGGCGAGGGGCGGCGATGTGTGATGGCACCTGTTTGGGGTCAACTGCAGAGCTGGCCCTCCCTGGGTTTCAAGAGCTGCTCCGATCCAAGCGGAGGGGATGGGGGGGAGAAGGGGAGGGAGGGGGGGAATCTGGACAAACCGGCACAAACACGACAGATGTTTGCTCAGAAAAATACAGTAAAATCATCATGCAGCTATAACAAGAAAGGTGCCCTCTCCCATCGCCGGCTCCTCTGCCTGCCGGTCGCAGCCTCCTCGGCTTTGCCAGCCAGTGTGGGTAGGGGTGGAGGGCAGGTTTGGGGGGGTAGGGGGAGGTCTGCTCTGTATAGCCAGGCTAGCCAACCCCCCTTTTCTCCCCTAAGAACAGTCTTCTCTGCAAATGTCACCCCCCCAAAGTGAGACCTGGGTCCAGCTCACCCCCAAAGTGGACATGACAGAGGTGTGCGGCCAGGCTGGCGTGGCCCTCCGCCAGACCCCGCCCCCAGCCAGCAGGTGGGCAGTGTCCCCTGGGGGACAGTGCCAGCTTTCTCAGTCACCCCCACAGTCACACTGCTCCCTCTCAAGAAGCCCAAATGAGGGGCAGGTCAGGTCTGGGCATCTCTGGAAGGGCTGTGTGGAGAGCCACAGGGCACAGAGGCTGGGCACAGCTGTCCCTTAGCTGTCCCCCCCATCCACGAGGCCACTGTCCACTAGAGGGCCAAGGGACCAAGTTCAGCGTCCTCCCTACGCTAGACTCGGGCTCAGGACTGCAGCTTTTCCCCCTCGCCCCCAGGGCCCGTCCCCGCAAGTCCCCCAGCTCCTGCCAACAGCAGCCCCTGCCTGGATCGGCTTCCTCACCACCCTCCGCCGCCGCCCACACTGACAGAACCCGAGAGCCCAACGGTTGGACGCTCTGGGCACCAACTGCCAGGCACCGGGTTGCCATAGTGACGGGCTAGCTAGGGAGGGGGAGGGGCCAGGAACCCAGCCTGCCCCCCCTACCCTGCCGGCTTGGGGGGGGGGAACCTCACTGTTTGTGCTTTGTTCGATGTTGGATGGGGGCAGAAAGAGGGGGTGGCCATTTCCATGGAAACATGAGAGCCCTTTGGCCCAAGGGGGTGGCAGGGATGGGGGTGACTCTCCTCTGGGCAGGCTGAGACACTGCTCCATGACACCCTGCGGTAGGGGTCAGACCGACGGAGGTGCGGGGTGCAGAGCGCAGGCAGGAAGCCCCCCATTCTACGCCCTCTCCAGGTTGCCCTTCAAGGGCAGGCAGGTAGGGGTCCTGGAGGCCCAAGACGCTGGGACCGGTGTGGAGGGCTGCACCTGAGATGCTGGGGAGCTGGCTGGCCCACCCCCCACTCCCAGGCAGCTCCTGGGCTACTTGGAAGACACTTAAAAGGGGGTCGGGGTCCTGCGCCCTGGCCTCGGGACCCTTGCCTGCTAACAGGACCCCTCTCTTTCCCAGATACCCCCAGTCCCTTCCCCTGAGGGCACCCCAGGGGCCTTTCTAGAAAGGAAAAGCACCTGTCCAGTTCTCTATTCCCCCAGCCCCAGGAGACCACAGCTTTGGAAGGGGTGGTGGGTAAATGATGTGGGTACCCCGGGGGGAGCAAGGGGTGCAGCGGGGGTCACAGGCAGCAAGGAGACCCCGTCGAGTCTGCTGTGTGACCTGCGGCTGGCACTGCTGTTCTCTGGGCCACCACCCATGAGGTGGGAGGGCAGGAACCCCAAGGCCCGGCCCCTGTGGCATCTCCAAGTGGCCTGTGCCCTAGCTCGGGAAGTCCCCCTCGCGGTGGCTTTGGTCCAACCCTAGCTCCGCCTCCTGACCCCTGAACCTGTCCCTGGCCCCAGCCCCCACACCTTGTCTTGGCTTCCTTGCCTGGCCCCTGCCCGCACACCCCAGCAGAGCCCCTAGGCAGCACAGTAAAGACGACTGTTTGCGGTACCAGTTTGTAAACTTTAAGGAAAGAAATGTGTCTTTGTTTTCCTGTCCGTTATTGTCGGGTGTTGGTTTGTTCACAGTCAGGTGGTGGTCAGGTGTGTGCATGGGTGCGTGCGTGCGGGTGTGCGTGTGCGTCTGCTTCTCGGCCTGGGCCCCTCGCTCCGCTCCCCAGGCCCCCGGCCACTGCCCTGGGGTGGGGGGGCCCATCCTCCCCCTCCCCGCCCAATGCCCCAGCCCTCCCCCTCCAGCCTCACCAGGGAGGAGAGAGAGGCTCACAGCTTCTGCTGGGCCGAGACCCCCTTCCAGTAATCCAGGATGTCGTGCAGGTCCTCATCCTTGGCGAACTGGACCTTCTTGCGCAGGGCGTGGCCAGCAGCCATGTACACCTCCTCCCGGTGGTGTTTCTTGTAGGGCCGGAAGCGCTCCCAGATCTTGTGCGTGCTCTCGGACGAGTACTCAGGGCTGGAGGAGTACCCTGAGTAGTAGTGTCTGGGGGAGAGCTGCGAGTAGGCCGAGTCCCGCTTGGAGCGGGTGAGCGGCTTGAGGAAGGACACGCGCTGGCTCAGGCTGTCGGCCCCCTCCTCGTAGTAGAGGGCCGGGAAGCTGTGCCGGTGCTCGCTGCAGTGGTAAGCCGGCTTCACCTCCAGGTGGTGGACGCCCCCGCCCCCGCTGCTGCCCCCGCTGCTGCCCGTGGGCACCAGCGGGAGCCGGTCCAGCGGGCTGTTGAGGGGGCTGCCCTTCTCGATGTACTTGGAGTCGCCCTTGGCCAGCCCCGAGGCCGCCGGGTGGTCGGGCACGTCCAGGCTGAAGACCTTGGCGCTCTTGATGGAGCCGCTGGAGGACACACTGCAGGTCTTGCGGGACACGGCGGCGTCGGCGCTGAGCTGGCGCTGGAGTGGGTGGTGGGCACTCTCCTTGTAGGGAGGCGACAGGAAGCTGGGCCGCTCCAGGGCTCCCGGGGTGGCCGTCACCGAGGAGGTCGCGGCCGCCACAGCCGCGGCCGCTGCGGGGAGGGACTGGCACTCGAAGGCCAGCTCGGGGTCCCCACCGCTGCCACCACCCCCCAGGAAGGAGGCCGTGTCCAGCTTGAGGGCATCGATGCAGTTGTTAATGATCTGGTTGACCTTGTCCACCTCCTTGGCGATGGTGGAGATCTCGGCGGCCGAGCCCTGGCCGTTCTCAAGGTCTGGGAGGTCATCCTCGGGCCGGGCCAGGCTGTCCCCGGCGGTGCCTGTGCGGACCTCGATATAGTTGCCTTTGGTGGCCACCTTGGGGGTGTCCAGGCCGGCCTCCAGCCCCTTGGAGGAGGGCAGCTTCTCCCCGATCATGGAGGGGATGGAGGACATGCGGGCCACGGGCAGCACTGGGGGCTCGCCCAGCTTCTGGGCGGCGTGCACGATGGAGCCGGCGTCCACGTCGGTCCCGTAGCGCATCTCCAGGATGGTCTTCTTGACATTGATGGACTTCTGCTTCTCCTCCTGCATGCGCCGCTTGCGCAGGCAGTAGTACACGGCGCCCAGCACGAGCACCATGCCGAAGAGGCAGCCCAGGATGGTCATGATGTAGTGCGTGGTGGTGGAGGTGCTGGGCGCCAGGTCGCCGGGGACGGGGTCCCGCGTGGTGAAGGTCAGACACGTGTGGTTGAAGCGGCGGCTGTTGCGGAGCGAGGTCACGCAGAACGTGTACTCCGTGTGCGCCCGCAGCTTGTCCAAGGTCACGATCTCCTTCTTGTTCTTGAGCGTCATGACGTCAGAGAAGTAGCTGTTGTTGTACTGGACCAGGACGTACATCTTGCTGTACGGGTGGGGGATGGTGACCACCAGCGTGGCCGAGGTGAAGGTGACGTGGTGGAGCTTGATGGCCGGGCCGGCCGTGGCATCGGTGGTGGACGAGGCCGGCGGCTCCACCGAGAGGATCTCGTCCGGGTTGAAGCCGGAGTTCTCGTCAGGCTCCCTCTGGGCGTCGGTGGAGTAGGGCGTGGGGTGGCTCACGGGCCGGGCGGGCAGCGAGCCGTTGCGACACTTGGCCTGCAGGACGGTGATGGCGTTGAGGCTGTGGTAGGGCCGGGGCACGAGCAGCGGGTAGCCAGCGAACTCGCGCGGGGACTCGCACTGCAGCCGGTCGTAGTTCTTGGTGACGTTGTTGAAGACCACGAGCCAGGCCAGGAAGCCGAAGAGGTCGCACTCGCAGTTGAAGGGGTTGCCGGCCAGCTCGCACACCATGAGGCTGGCCAGGCTGGCGAAGGTGGCGCCGTCCAGGCGGCTGAGGCGGTTGGAGGAGAGGTCGATGCTGATGAGGCTCGGGCACTCGGAGAAGGCGGCCGGCGTCACCACCTCGATGAGGTTGTGCTGGACGAAGAGGAACTGCAGGCGGCTCATGCCCCGCAGCATGCCCTCCGTCAGGTTGCTCAGCCGGTTGTAGCCCAGCTGCAGGACCTGCAGGCTCGACTGGCCCAGGAAGGCGCCGTCCTCGATGTAGGAGATCTCGTTCTTGGTGAGGTTGAGGTCGGTGAGGTTCCCGAAGCGGTTGAGCGAGGAGTAGAGCACGGCCTTGAGCTTGTTCTCGTTCAGCCGCAGGTCGTGCACCGTGCTGTTGATGTGCTGTGGGATGGTCTCGTAGGGCGGCTGGTTCTGGCTGCAGATGGCCAGCCACACGTAGCCCTTGTCCCCCTCGATGAGCCAGCAGTCGGCGCGCACCACGCCGGGCCGGCACACGCACAGCAAGGCTGCCGCGCACAGCCCCAGGCGCAGCATGGCGCCGGCCTTGGCCTGGGCAGGCCCACGCGTGGCAAGGCCTACTGGCTGGAGCCTGGGACAGGTAGCACAGTCCTCCCGGGGGCTGCCACCATCTTGGGGGCAACCCCCAGCACAGGGGCCCCAGGTGAGCTGGGCACGGCCAGTGCCCACGGTCGGGAGCCTGGCGGGGGCGGGGGGTTGGGTTGGTGGTGGAGGGAGGGTCACAAATGGGCTACAAGCACCCGGCCAGGGTGTTCCTGGCTCCTGTGAAGGAAACACACAGGTTGCCAGGCTTCGACTTTCTCTCCCTCTCCCTCCTCGGCTTCCTCTTCAGGTTCTTGGCTCAGAGCGTCAGACGACTTCCACAGGCGACGCAAGCGTGGCGCTGGGGGGGAGCGAGAGAGGCGGGGGCAGGAAGGAAGAGACCCATCTGTCACCTGGTTCCTGAAAGGCAACATGGAGAGGGAGGGGGGTGACGGATCAGTGGGGGGCTCAGCCCCTCAGGCTCTAGCATGGGCCCCCCGTCCCTCCTCCACTTCCTCCTCACCCCCCCTTGTGGGGGCCTCCTTGCAGAGAGCACCCTAGGGTGCCTGCTAGACCAAGGGTGGGCTGAGAGGTGGCAAGATGGGGGGCTGGGAAGCCTGGACCAGCTGGGGCGGGCAAGGGGCAGGCTGGGGACCGAGGCAGAGAAAGGAGACACAGGTGGGTGCAGGTGCACACGCACCCCGGGGCATGCCCGCTGCACTGGTGTCTGGACTCACCTGCTGGCCAGCATGGAGCCCATAGTCCCACCTGAGCCACACACACACACACACGCACGCACACACACACACACACACACACACACACACACACACACACACACGTACAAACGAGCGCACCTACCATCTGTACACATGACAGACAGGCGTGCGCACAGGTCCACACACCCAAGTGGGCACCCCTGAATCCGGATAAAGAATTAAGAACCCAGCGAAATGCCTCCGTTCTCCAGGCCCAGAGATAAATAATTCATTTGTTGTGTAACTGCTCTTGTTCCAAAAATAATTCCCTTGTCTCAGCCTCCATGGGGGTGGGGAACACAGCGTGTGAGCTCTGGGCCCCCCGCCCCCCACGCAGGGGGACACCGAGGGGGGGCTCCACAGCAGGAGGGCTGGGGTGGCTAGCCCTGGAGTGCAGCTGAGGGGCGGGAGGAGGGACGAGAGTCAGGACATCCAGAAAGATCCCCCAAAGTACTTTCCACAGAAGGCCCCCCACAATCCAGTCTGCAAGCCTCAGGCTTCCAAAATCACATGGCCAAAGTCCCACATTCTCTTCTGTCACTGGAGAACCAGAGGCTCCGAGAGGGACAGGGCCTGGCCCCAAGTAACCCAGCACAGCCTGGGCCAGGATCAAAGCTTCGGAGACACTGAGGCACTGCCAACAAAAGCCAGGGGTCCTAGGGCTCCATCCACACGTCCTGACTAGATAGGCCAATTTCACCATCTTGTTCCCACATGCACGAAGGGGTCCAGGTTCCCCCCCCACCCTGCCCCTGCCCCACCCCCCACCATCTGGACGAGAAAGCCAGGAAGATGGAGGGGGGGGTCATAGGCTGCAGAGCCTCTGGATCCACATTCCAAGCGAGGAATCCAAGCCCAGGCCCAGGAGAGGCTTGGCCTGGTCACCCCTGCAAGTCGCACACGACTGCAGAGCCAGGGCTGGCTCCAGCTGTCACCCTGGGCCCTGGGCCACAGGAACAGCCCCAGCCCCTCCTTCTGCCTGGAGGTCAGAGAAACACACATCTGGGCAAAGAATGCCCCCTCTGCTCCCGTGCCTCCCCACAGAAAACTCCAGGAGAGAAGGGCTTTAGAGGAAAAAACAAAAACAAAAAAACGTTAAACCGCTGTGAAAGGAAACCAATTGGCAGCTTGAAGGCCCAGAGGCGGAACGGAGGGCAGGGGTGCAGTGGGGGAGAGAAAGCCAGAGAGGTCCCGGGCAGGGCCGGCGGTGGCAAGGAGCAGGTCCACATGCTGGCTTGGCAGCGGGCGGGCGGGCAGAGGACGGCAGAGGAGGCTGCCGCACACTTCCGGCCTCCCACAGAGCCAGCTTGGGGGCAGGGGGGTGTCACCGGGCTGGCTGGAGGGCAGGTGCTCCAGTAACATTGCTTTCCTTGACTGAAGGGACACGTGGCTCCCCTGAGGGGACCCTGGACCTCTTCCTGGGCCTCCATGTTCCCTCCCACAGGTGACTGGGTTGTAGCAGAGGGGGCCGAGTCCCCAGCCGCGGGGACGTGGGGAGAGAGGCATGTAGTCCATCTGCAGTCACCGGGAGCCACACTGGAACGCAGGTGCAAGCATGGGCGGGCCCAGCGTGCGGCGCGAGGTGTGCTACGCGTACAAGCAGGCTCATGAGCACAGGGGTGCACAGGACGCGTGCACTCATGGTAAGCGGCAGGAGTTTGTGCTGGCAGGGGGTGGGAGGGGGCATGGGAGCCGGGGGCTCTCAGGCCCGCGGGCAAGCACCTGCCTGGTGGATGTGCTGTGACAAGGCCCCGGGGGCACCCGCCAAGCTGGTTAAAAGGCTGGGGGACAGCAAGAGGCCCAGAGTGACACACACAACAGCCAGGCTTGGGAAGGACAGAGATCCTGCTCCGGCTTCCCTCCCCAAACACACCAGGGGCTGTGAGCCAGTGGCTCCCACCTGTAATCCCAGCTACTCACAGGAGGATGTGAGGATCACAATTCAAAGCCAGCCCATGCAGGAAAGCCCCTAAGACTCTTATCTCCATCGAACCACCAAAAAGTCGGAAGTGGAGCTGTGGCTCAAGTGGTAGAGCGCTAGTCTTGAGCAAAAAAAAGCTAAGGGACAGAGCTCAGGCTGAGTTCAGGCTCCAGGACTGGCGCACACACACACACAAAATCCAAACAGACAAGCGTGGCCAGAGGCGCCTGGCACCTCCGGCTCAGGCCTGAGCTCTGCCCTGGGCCCTCAAGGTGACCCTGCAGGCCCTCTGCTGCTGCTCCTGGTCCCCAGGACAGCTTGGCTCTTGCCTTCTGTGACTCACCCTGTCCCATGTACGTCAGCTGCCTTGTCCCATCCCTGGGCTGCCTGCCCACCACCCATCGCGCCTGACGCAGCCGGGGAGGGGGACAAGGAGGCCAAAAAGGCGCTGACAGCAGCACTTGGCCCCCAGCCCGGCATCGCTCCGATCACCGCACAGGTGTGCAGCAGGGGAGGGGCGAGCCACGGGCCTGCTACGATGGGGGGGGGTCCCAGGGGTTGGACAGACAAGGTCATTTTCTTCTCCTGTAACACACACACAGCTGGGGGAGGGGAGGGCAGGTCTTACCCAGAACCCACCTGGGGGCGAGGACTGAGGAGGATGGAAAGCAAAAATATCAGGAAAGCCAAGCAGGAAGGCAGAGGAAGAGACAAATGCGGTGTCTGAGGCAGAGAAGCTGGTCACAGCCAGCTCCAGGACAGACCTGGGGGTGGGGGAGGGTTTTCATGCACCTGCTGCCCCTCTCCTCTCCCACCCCCCAGCCATCCAGGGAGACAGGCCCAGACATTGGGCCTGGCCGAGTCCCCTAAAATGCAGCCTAGGATGAGCCGGAGAGGGAGGGGGTGGCGAGGGGGAAGCAGCCTTTGGGAGCAGAGCCTCGATGGTGCCCAGCCCCCGGGGCTGCCATGTGGGCAGGCGGCACTGGCCAGACCAGCACAGCATGGGCACAGAGCGGAGCTCCTGGCTGCCAGTCTGGCTGGCCAACAGGCTGTGTGATACCCTCTCCATGGAGGACATCTCTGGGCAGAGAGCAGAGAGAAGCCACAGCAACACAGCCGGACACGGGCTGCTCTGAGGGGCAGCGCTGGGCAGGGCCAGGCGCCTCCGAACCTCCTGGACAAATGTCCTCCACCTCCAGGTGACCCAGCTGCAGCTATGCCCCAGGACTGAGAACCTCCCCTGGGGAAAGAGGAAGAACCCTCGCTCAGCCCAATCCCAGCCCCTCACAGGGAAACTGAGGCCAGGAGAGGAGGGAGACCCCATCTTCCACCCGCCCACCTGTGCGGCAGCGGGGGCAGCAGGGAGCCCTGTGTGGGACCCTCACCACCCACCCAATCTGGGGTGTCCCTGGGCTCCGGCTCCAGGGCAGGACCAGCCTGAGGGCTGGGGGTGTGCTGACCTCCAGCAAGCCACAGGCCCCTCCCAGCCAGGCGGCCACCTGTGATTCCCAGAACGCCCAGGCATGGCGGGGGACGGGGGACACATGCCTGTGCAGGGCAGGCAGCCCCACAGACCGGCTGCCTCTGCTCCTGCTGGGGGTGGGGGGAGGCGGGAGCAGGAGCGGGAGGTCAGTCTGTGTCCTCAGCTCTGTCCAGGCTGGACTCCTCCCCAGGGTCAGCCTGACAGCTCTGCCAGCCAGCCAGCCAGCAGAGGCCACTGTCCCCACTCCGCTCACCGACACTACCCAGAATCAGGAAGACGGAGGGCTCCTGGGCCCAGCCAGGGCGCTCAGCCCAGCTTGGGGGTACATGGGGTCCTGCCACTGCCTCTACCTCCTGGGTCCCAAGAGTCCCAGACCCTCTCATCCATGAAGTGGGACGTGGCACCTGGTTACTAAACTACTGTTTGCTAAGTTAACTGGATTTCAGGTGCAGTACGTTCCAGCCGCAGGGGAGAGACAAGACACAGATACTGGAGGTGAGAAATCCTGGCATGGACGGCTGAGCTGCGTGATGTAGGCACAATGATTAACCACTCTGGGCTCAAGTCACAGGGTCCTTTATATGATGACTGTCCTGTGTCTGACATTTTTATCTCCAACCCTTGACTCTGACACCAACCCTGCACGGCTGGGGCCTCATTTTACAGATAAGGAAATTGAAGTTTTCACCTTGTATAGCCTTCCCAGGGAACAGAGCTTAGGGCAAGGACTGGTCACCCAGCAGGATCCTGCCCCTCAGGACTTGTTTACCCGAGTGTCCCCCACAGTGTCCCCACAACCTTTTGCCTTGCTGCATTCGGGTCTCTGCTCCAC